TATTTTCCTTACTTATGCACAAGTTGTTTGCATCAAAACACACAAGTTGAAGCACCCTCAAAACCTCCCAAGCACCTTGCTGCACATAATTTCCCAAACTTGTCAGTTTTGAGCAAAAACTCACCATCTTCATTTCCACTCGTCCGTTTTGAAAACTAATCATCCAAACACCTTCCATACATCATATCAAAGTAATCCAAGCCCTTATTTCCTAATTGTAACTCCTCCATCACCATCCACCATTTTCAAAACTGAAGCTTGCAACTTGACTTGAGTTGGGAGTTTCAGCCATCCTCAAAGCAAAGTAGGAGTTGGAATACACTCAAGGAGGTCCATCCCAGCTAAACAGATCATTGGGAAACCTTAAAGCTTGCTCAAACTCCATACATGAATCCAACTGCAAGAGGTAAGTTTTCAAACTTCTATCTCTTCATACAAGCATCATTTGATTCTGATTTGTAAAGATAAAATGTAGATACCATTGCCACGAAGCTGTACATATCCATAGTTTGCATTTATATGGTCTGAGCTTAGAGAATTTTAGAGTTAAAGTTTCTGAAATTTTTAGGTTTTAATTTAGGGCCAGAAAAGTTCTCACTCATATTTGACTTTTAGCTTTAATTATTTATATGGTTGGATTAATGGGAAGAAATACCACAACTTTTATGTTTGTACTTTCCATTTTTGTTGAGAGATGAAGAAGTTACACGTACTCTGGCTGGGCGTGAGGTTGAAGATAAAGTTCAGGCCATGGACTTGATTTGTAATATATATTTATGATTTGATATAAATGAACGGATGTATAGCCACCCCAGTAGTAAGGCAGCGCGCTGGTAACCAAGAGGGTGTGGGTTTAACACCCAGCATGCTGCCTTTTGCTTTTTTTTCTCACATTTTCCTTTTCCTTCTGTTTGTAGCGCCTGGGCCCTATAGTATTAGGCCTTCATTTTTTTGCTTACTAACCCCTGATTTACTTCAGCACCCCCTGACCCAATTTCATTATTATTTTCTTTTTTTATTTTATTATTTTTCCTTTATTATTATTATTATTAGTATTATTATTAATATTATTTTTTATTGTTATTAATAAAAATCCAAAAAATATTTATTTTATCATTTTACACTCATTTATATTTTATTTCTCTTTATAAAAATTAAAAAGAACAAAAACAATTTTCTTAGCAAATTAATTTCTCTTTTTTTTTTATGAATTAATATTTAGGCTTAAGATTAATGACTATATTATTTTCTTTTCTTAATTAAAATTAATTTAGAATTTAAGTTTATTTTAATTAATCAATATTCATATTATTTTTATTAATTTAAAAAAAACCTTTTCATAAAGAAACTCTAGAAAACCATTTTTAACTTATTTTTTTTTAATTAATTTAGGTTTTTTAGTTTTAGTTAATTTTAAATTAATTTTTTTACTAATTAGGGTTAGGTTAAAATTCTTTCATAAAAATCATGTTTCTTTACTCATTTGCATTCTTGCATTTTTATCTTCAATTTTATACAATATTTAATATGGTTGTAATAATTATTTAGATTTAATTTTCTTGCAATTTCCCCATTTATAAATTTGTACACCCTCTCCCTTATTGATGTAATAGCTTAGTATTTTTATTTTCTGTAATTTAATGCTTTATATATAAATGCTAGTAATTAGAGTTTGTATGGAAAGATTAAAATCAACAAGTTAGCAAATCCTAATTCAAGACAAAACAATGCATGTAAATCAACACACTTGCACACTTACACCCTTAGGGTAAATCCACTTTATTGCCTTGAGAAATAAATGGTCATAATATGCATGTAAGATGTCTTAGCAAAAAAAACGAAAATACAAGATCATAGTCCCTCGATGACGCTATCAAAGTTGCCTTTCAAAAATGATCTTAGTCCCTTAAAGAAATGCTAAGATATTTTACAATATTGCTAATCATGGCTATACGATGACCCATGCCCGTCCCTTTTATATCCAAAGATAGGGTTTCTTACCAAATGAATGGTAAGATAACAATGTCAAAGGAAAGGGGAAATAAACATGAAATACTTTTGAGTAGGTAGAATGCTCCTAGTTGCTTGCTCATTTTTAAACCAAAACATCCTTTCTATTTTCAAAACGAACACCAAAACATCTTTCAAACTTGAAACATTTTTCAAAAGATCAACACTTTGTATACATTCTTACGAACGAGAATCATTACAAAGTTTGCCTAAACGATGACGCCTTTTCAAAATACTTTCAAAAACCATACAAAGAATATTTTCAAACAAAAGCAAGTGATCTAGCAAGCAACTAAGAGCCCGTAGATAACTACAGATGAAAAGGGTGCTAATACCTTCCCTTTTCATAATCTACCCCCCGAACTCAAGAAAACATCTTAAAGGTCTTTCCTGTTCTTTTCAACCTTTCCTTTTGGATAAAAGAAAAGTCGATGGTGACTCTTGCTAACCGCAACATTTGCGATCAAACACAAAACACCAAGTTAGTTCTCCCACCGTGTTACATCTTCAAATTAACTACGAACTACATCTACAATCACACACTTTTCAAACCCATACAAAATTCAAGGATAACTCGAAAGCAATTTTACGCAATCCTATAAAAAAACTAAACTAACACATAACGAACTACAAAATGGACTCTGATTTCTTTGCAAGAGGATACGTAGGCACCCAGTTGAAAAACCAAGGCGAGTCCCTTAATTAAAAAATTATAATTTTTCTCAAACATATGGAAACGATGTGTTTAAATAGAAAATTCTGGATTTAACCTGAAACCAAGAAGTGGAACCCCTTGAGAACAACGGAGATGAAGAGTGCCTAACACCTTCCCTTTATCTAGCTGACTCACGAACTTAGAACCTCTGACGAAATTAGGGTTATCCGTTATTTTCCCATCCTTAGGACAAAAAGTAGTGGTAACGACTCTTTATTTTTTGCCGGTTATGACAGTTGACGTCTCTGCGGAGGACACAAACCTAGGGTTAGAGTTTACCCCTTCTTTTAGGTCTAGGGTTTTTGAGTTTTTCTTTTTATGGTATGTTATTGCTTCCATATTTATTTGCTTATTTGTTCATTTATTCTTATTTTATTTTTATCATATTGTTATTTTGTTGGTGGGATTTTATTGTAACAAAAATAATAAATCTTAAAAGAAGGATTTTCAATTGGCCAAGGAGATTTAACATCCCTATGAATTTTTGCGATGACTTCGCCTAGAGTAGGTCGAATTCTGAGAAATATCTTTTAGAGGACTAGACTCTCTTGGAGTTCAATTTTTTGTAAGTGGCATTATATTAATATGTTATGTTGTCTAATATATACATTTTAAAGTTTGCCCAAAAAAATTACATCCTTTACTTGTTTCTATCTTGTTCAGTTTCTATTCTGTTATGTCGGGGAAGGTTCCGGAAATATATTTCCGAAATAAAGGGTGGTTCCGAAGATACATTTTCAGAACGTGCCCTGGTATAAGATAGTGTTTGTGAGATTCATATTAGTTTCTCACTAATATAAATAAGATCACTTGTCATATTGTTTCATACGAAAACACAAAAAACCAGAATGAACATCATTTTTCATGTTGAAAATGTTCACTTTACCGATAATACACCATCAAGAGAATTTAAGATCACTGAATACATCCATCTTGAAGATCTACCAGGAGCTTCTACCGTATGTCGACAATAGTAAAATTGTGAAGATCGAGTATCTCTCGCCATCCATTGACAAAGAAGGAAAGATTATGTTCAACAACCATGAGCTGAAGACGGCCGCTGATTTAAGGACTATGTGGAAAACGTTTTTTTGTTTAAAATCAAAAGTTCAGATCGAGCTGGATGCGACTGTTTCGAGATCAGACGATGATATTATCAAGATGTTACAACGTCCACCTGAATATTGAAGTGTAATGTTTGATCTATGTTAAAATCCCTTATGTATTATTGATTTTATGATATCAATTGTATTTTCATTTTGTCAAGATGTTGTTTTTCCATTATGTTTTTCTGCTTCTACTTCGCAAGTTTTCGAAAATATACCTCCAAACGTTTTACGTATATACATCTCTGAAATAATTGATGTTTCAATAAACGTTTGATGCGTCCAGAAATATATTTCCGAAACTTGGAAGCTTAATAATATTTTTGCGCAGTGCGCTAGAAAATTATAGAATGCATTAAAAAATTCCCCAAAAAAACACCCCTTAAATCACTATCTATAACGGGAAAGAATTGTCTCTAGTAAAGATTTCACTGCAGAGGGAGCCGTGGAAATCTCCAACCTTCAAATTCCACTTTTTCATATTTTTGTATATTTAATATTTTATTGTGTGATGTGGATTCCACTTAATGATAAATTCAAAGGAGACAATTCACTCCCATCAAGAACTTGTACCAAACTCAACTGAGGATTGTGGTGGATCAACTTATCTTGGGTCTACACCCCATATTTGCTTAACATGTTTGCTTACCTATTTGCTTCTCGAAAAACATGATGAAACTTAATCTTTCAATTCATACTCAACAAACTTCTAATCTTCGTAACCAGACTCCAACCAGAAACATTGCCATTCCCTTCATTTTTGATCGTATCCACTTGACTACTTAACTTGTTATATCCCAATTTTAAATTCTTTTTTACCAATTTTAAACCTTCCAATATGCCCTATAGTTCAGCAACATAAGCCGTAGTGTATCACATTTTGTTTTAAAAAAACTACTTGATATACACCCAAAATAATGTGTAATTGTTGGAATACATAGATAACTTCTTATAAACCAATCATGTTTATAAGAAATTTTGGCTATAGGATCCACTCATATTTATTCAGAAGTATCTTTTTTTATTTTTAAAATCAAGATGAAACACCAACATAAGGCACTATGATCCTACAGAAAAGGGAAAAGAATTTAAAATTGACCAGTAATTGCAATACAAAAAAGAATACTAATTTTAATTCATTCCTAAGTTCTACCTGAATGTTCAATCTCCTATGTTTCTCCTGCCAAAGTTTCTTTTATGCATTGGTTCTCGGGATCACATTCGAGCCTCTCACCAGAGGATTGTTTTGGCGGGTCTTGTAGAAGATTAGAAAAACTATTAGTGATTTTATTCACAGCATTTTCATTTCCTGCGTCAACCCTTATGGTTTGGCCAAAAAGCACAATCTGGGCCGGGTTTGCATGATCCTGTTTCTCTGATGGTGAGCACGGAACATTCTCACTTTCGTTCGCCTTTTGCAACACAGCGTTACTTCGGACCGTCATCGATGTTGTAGCATTATGATCAAATGGTTGTTGTAAATTAGGCTTAAAGAGACCTAATGGAGACTTATTGATGTGAAAGTCTGATAAAGAGAGACAGAAAGGATCACGCCTGGCTCCCTGCATACCAGCAGGATTAGTTTCTGGTAAATGAAGACTTGGAATATTTGGAGTTTGAAAGTAGTTTGGAAAAGTTGGCATTGAAAATTGGTCATCAGTGGGGAAAGCTTGATACTCAAGCAATCTCAGTTTCTTCCTTGATGGTGGCAAGAAACAGGAAAAAGGGATTGAAGGCGTGTTCAAAGGTATTTCCACTTGCCACGGATTCACCCTTTTCGTATTTTTAAGTAAATCAGGTTTATCCCATGTAACCTAAAAAATATGATATCAGAAGATTATTCAAAGCTGAAACAAAGTTGAAGATGCAATTAGATATATTGATTATAACTGAGTTCAAAAGGAGTATGTAATAAACATGTCTATACCTGGAGAAGTCTCCAAAGAGAGTTGGGCCATGCTGGATCAGCAGTATGAAGAGAAGCAATTGTTCCCATAAACCAATTTATCTTTGACGAGTCTTCAGATTCAAAGGCCATCTTGAACCTCATTCCAGAATACCACCTAATCTGAAGTACTGTTCTAATTAAAGAGGTTTTCACAAAAAACTCGGGAGTACCAACCCGAGGATAGTAAACCACATCAAACGGTTGCATATTGACACCAAGTTTTACTGCTTCAATAACATCTTCAGCCTTCACTTTTCCAATTCCCATCACCTTATCACTTATACTCAATTCATTTTTTTGAGGTTTATCATCTTTCTCTCCGGAAGACGACTTAAGTTCTCCGTGTGGTGGTACAAGACGAATTCCAATTTCATTACCAGGTTTGCTTTTTGATGAAGGGTTAAATCCAAAGTCGTTTAGTCTTTTAGACCTTAGAATTCCAATATGAAGATCACTGTTTTCAGCTCTCGCAAACACAAGTGAATCCCCCGAAACAAGTAGCTTGTTAGTTACAAAAACTCTCCACCCAGTTGATAACAGATGCCGCTTCGGCATGCCCCTATAAACATGTTTGAATTCCCATGTTTCGCCATGGAAATCCGTTGGATAAATCTTTTGAGAAGGAGGGGTACCTGAATAGTCTAATGGAGGAAAAAGTGTTTCTGCACAATACCTAGGACAAGAGAGTCCACCACCATTTATATCTGATTGTGTCAAGGTTTTCGTGTAAAACTGATATTTATTCTTAGTTTCAGACATGTCATCAATGCGAGTAACATCATCGTCATCAAAACTAACTTCGCTGATATGCAGCGGAACAAGCCTGAGTTTTGCATACACCTCATCTGTGTCAAGATCAGCTCTGTAATGGATAGCTGCAACTCTACATGGAATTTCGGATGGAATTTTGATGTCAGCAGGAAAATTGACAGGTTCATATGCATGCTCGGCGTGACCCTGAGGGAAGTAGAAGATGTTAGAGTTAAGTTCTGGAATTTGCACAGTTATTCCAGCAACAGCATGCCATAGCTGAGGATCCACATCCTTGTTCCCATCAATCTTCTTTTTCTTTGACTCTCTATTGTCATCTTCCGTAGATGTCGCCATTTTAAAATCGAATTCTGCGTGCATTAAAAGGTGATTTGCAAAACAAGCCAAACGGTTACACTAATACAATAGTTATAACCACATAATGTAAATGAATGAAATATATTCAGCCCTAGTGACTGCAGTGGAACTTTGTAAAAGCACACAGAAAGAAGAAAATGTGTATGAAGGAAAAAATTTAAGACAATACTCCCCCTACAACTTAACCACTCTCAGTATCACATACTTTCAACCGATTCCTCCCCTTCCAAAGTTGATTAACATATGAAAGAATAAAAAAGATAATTGAAAATTGAAACTTAAAAGCAAGAAGCAATAAAATGACATAGAAAAAGCAAGAAGAAAGAAAGGAAAGTACCTTCCCTTATTGCCTGATTCAGCAATCCCTAAGAGAGATGAAGCGGAGCTAAGCAACTGAAACTCTCAAGTGAATTGGGTTTATGAATAACAAAGTTTAGAAGTTGATGTAAAATTGTTGTTGAGAGCATGTAGTTTGAAAGAGTTAGAGTAAAAGAATAGGGTGAGTTAAAAATAACTGCATTGAAACGGTTATAACAGAATGAAGCACCACAAAGCAAACAGTTATGAACCCAACAACCATGCAAAATTCGACACAAATTGACCAATAATCAAACAACAACAAAAAAGCATTAGACAAATATTTTTATAAATGCTTATTTTGATAAGCACTTGAGCTATAAACTCCAAATAAACCAATTATCCAAACATGCCCTAAATTAAAGATATTACCCAAACCTCGGCATGGACAGTTCCTCCAGCTAGTAATGATGAATACATATTTTTGGCACTCTGTTGTTTGTGCTTCCATACCTGATGGACTCTTCTGGAGAAAAGAGAGAGAATTCATCTTCTTCTGACGAGGATCTGTCAGAGCTTCCTTCTTTTTCCTAAAAGGCTTTAGTTTCATATTTTTATTAGATTTAAGGGCAAGGGACTTACTTTTCTTCTAGGCTCATCTTCTTCTAGTTTTATCTCGTAACTTCTTAGGGAGATGATTAGTTCCTCTAAAGATATAGTGTTAAGATCTTTGGCTAACTTAAGGATGTGACCATAGGTCTCCACTTCTTAGGTAAACTTCTGATAATTTTCTTTACATGATCTGCTGTGGAGTATCCTTTGTCAAGAACTTTCAAACCAGCAACCAGAATTTGAAACCTTGAGAACATTGTCTCAATAATTTCATCTTCTTCCATTTTGAAGGCTTCGTACTTCTGAATAAGTGCAAGATCTTTGGCCTCTTTAACTTGTGTGTTGCCTTCATGCGTCATTTTTAGAGATTGATACATGTTCTGAGCAGTATCTCTGTTGGTGATCTTCTCATACTCAGTATATGAGATGACACTCAAAAGGATTGTTCTCAATTTGTGATGGTTTCTGAATTCTTTCTTCTGTTCATCTGTCATCTTCTTTCTGTTAATCTTCTGACATTTTGCATCGACTGGACGAATGTAGCCATCAGCTACCATGTCACAGAGACCAGCATCATGAATTAGAAAGAAACTCTCAATTCTGTCTTTCCAGTAATCAAAGTTCTCTCTATCAAAGAGAACTTCTTTTCTTTAGGCGTGTTACTTGGATTTGCTTCTTAGTTTGTACACATATTCCTTTCAGAGCTTCATAACGCAATTCAGTCATAATCTTCTATGCTTTTTCATTAGAACTTTTTTGTATATTTAATCAATCAATTAGAGAGCATAATTGTTCTTCATAATAATTATGTAATTGTTATCATCAAAACTAATACTTAGATGTAGAATCAAACTATGTTCTAACACTTGGTTCAATTGTTTTAGAAACAAATTTTGCCTTTGTTTTTGAGGTTTTTAAATATGAATTTTTATTTAAAAGATAGAAACTAAAAATAAAAAATAAAATTCAACGTGACAGTTCAGTGACAGTTTAAAGGTAAGAAAAAGTTAATTTAAAAAAAAAAAAAGATAGACTAATAAGACCTGATTAAATTTTATCAGAGATTAAATCAATTTTTTTTTGTTAGAGATTAATTTAAGTTTTTTAATTTTTATAAGGGATCAAAATAGATCTTCACCCTTAATTTAATTTAAAATTTCATTGTTGTTCCAAACTATTTTAAGTCCTTCAAAAACATTTAATTATTTTTGGTCCATTTTATTAATTTTAATTTTAAATATAATAGGTGAGTTAATATTAAAATGACACGCCTTTAGATACATTATAAGTGTTTATTAATTTTAACGGTATACACCTTCAACATATAATACTCTTTACATATCTTTTCTTCTTCATCACTATCTTCATCACCATTTTCATCAAAATCTAAATTTAAAAAATTAATTTCAACTTTAATTAATTAAATAATATTTTCTCGCAACATCATTAACAAA